ACTGCCTTCCATTTATCAGTGGACATTCCTCCCCACTTTCAGTTGGCTGGACCCAGGCACTGACTACATCATCTGATTTTCCAGAAGAACAACAGATCCCTTGAGTCCTCATTTTCCCAATCCCAACATAGGATGCTCAGAAGTGTTTTGCCATTCTTTTCTTCTGGGGGCACCCTGGGGCTGTACAGCTTGCTCAAAGCCACACAGTCTGGCTTTCTTCTCAGGAGGCACAGTGGGGAATAGAACTCCAGCCGTCTGGCTCCGCAGACATTCTCGTGGATATCAGCTATTTCATGCATTTCTCAAGTAATCTTTCCTAGATACAGTGATTTGTTTACAAGTAATCCTTAAGTCTAGAACTTTATCTTGTATCATGAAATAATGGTTCAAGTTTGAGATTCTTTCCAACTGTTTCTGAAGTGAAGCCTGGTGTGGTTAGCTTCTCTAAAATTTTCACTGTCTATCTCTCTGATAGAGACATATTTGTGTTGTTTTAATTAACTGCATTACCTCTTTCTCTGACTTACTTTTACTGATGTAACTGTATATAAACATTTATTTTCTACGGCTTAAGAATGTGCTTCTCAAATTCTGTATTGGCTTGCCTTTTTTTGCTGTGGTTTTTTCCTCTCATGGCAACATTAAATTTATATCTGCCATGTGCCAGGGACAAACCACCTTCCTCCTTGGGTCATAATTTCTGCTACCAGAAATTTCCTCCACCACCTCCATAGGCAAGACCTCAGTTTCCTGTGAGTGGCACTTCCTCTTCTTTCCTGAGTCCACCCATATATCCTCCACATCTCCTTACTCCTCTGTATTCCTCTCGGGTAGCTTGGTCTGTGCTCCAGGCCCTGGGCAAGAGGGTGACAGCCCACTGCCAAGGGTGTCCTCGTTGCTGTCTTTCCGCACTTCCCCATGGAACTTAAATTTCGTTACAAAGAAGACATGTTCACAGGTGCAATTTGAGCAGGTTTTTCATCTGATGCGAGTGTGGGCAAAGTCTGTCCCAAGGGACATGTAGAGCTGCTTAGGGCATCTGTTCAGGTTTTCCCAAGATTAATTGTCCTTCAAAATGCATATTGTTTCCCCAGAGGCCTTCGAGGGATGCCATTTGCCTTATAAACACAACTTCAGCCTATCCAGAACCATTTTTAGGCCTTAAAGAGACCTTTAAAGATAACTGAAGCAACAAGAGGGACAGTGGCTGTTTCTAAAAGAGGACTGTAGGGCCTAAAACAGCCCTAAAAGGGGCAAAATACTGTCTACAATGCAAATCACAAATGAGTTGTGTTCATCACATGGTATTCCTGTAGTTATTTGAATATTGTTCATCATGATAGCCATGCATACCTGTTGAATCAAAGTGCCATTTAGTCTTTGATTTGGAAAAAAAAGTGTTCAATTTGGCAGGATCTTTAGAAGAATATTTTGCATTGACAGCTAGTACAGAATGGAGTTGCCTACTTGTTGACAAGCATGGACAATTCAGCTATTTTGAGGTAGCCATGCCACCAATCACATAAAGTTGGAAACAGTTTAGCTCCCTCCCCTTTTTGTTTTTGCCCCCTCCCCCTGAACATGTCCTATACAAGCTGCTCCCATTGGCAATTAAGATCTTGTAAGGGGCTCCACACCAGCTTCCCTTTTACAAGGAAACCAAGGGTCAAATTATTAAGAATAATAATACATATTTTGACAAATTAGCCTTTGTTTTTTTTTCCTATCACATTATTTCTTCAGGTTTGCAAATTAAGCCTATTTGTATCTTCTAGCAATCAGAATAATAATACATATTTTGACAAATTAGTCTTTGGTTTTTTTCCTGTCACGTTATTTCTTCAGGTTTGCGAATTGAGCCCATTTGTACCTTCTAGCAATTTATCACAAAGCATGAAGGAGTGCAGAATATGAAGTGAGGAAGAATATGCGCTAGGATAAACCGGCATTGCATGCCACTTAAGGGAACACCAGTTTTAAATACCAGCTAAGCATATCATCTGGTTTGCCCCTGTCTGAGCCTTTCTGCAGAAGTTTCTCAGAGTTCTGCTGTTCCGAGATTTTCTTCTTTGAAAAGAATATACAGTCTCTTTCATTCTGTCTCTGAAGGCAGGTTAACACTGCAGCCCTGTGTGTGTTCACCTGGCCAAAAATTAACATCTGAATAGGTAGTCACAAAAGTGAATGTTAAAACTTCTGAAATAGGTGATTTACTGTTTCATGTTTTGTTATCTTTGATGCAGTGGTGCTGATTTTACTGTTGACGTTCTAACTGTGTCTAATATTTTTGTGTTAAATTCCTGTATGTTGCTGTGATGTTCAAATCAATAGTTGCTATACTGTATAATTTTTTTAAATTTCTGGTTTTAAAATAAAGCATTGCCATTCTCCCGTCTGTTTTCAGACTGAATTTCAGCTGTTCTTATATGCTACATGTCTAGATTGTACCTGACCTTTCTCCAGTTTTTTTGCATATGAACAAAAACATTCATCGACCAAAATATTTTTCTAATGCTTGTTTCCATGTATTGCCCTTTTAAAAAGCAGCACTGTTCAAATTTGTATTTCAACTGTCATGTCTCTATTGCCAGCTATTTCCCTTCTCTGTAATAGCTGTGCCAAGTCCAATTAAATATTTTATGTTTAAACATTAGAAGTTGCCATGCCAAGAAAAATGAATGAGCGTATATGTTGCCAAATGGAAATAAACAGCTGAATAGTCTGACTAGATCTGTTTAAAGCCTATCCTCTTGAAAATCATTCTTCATGTTGTCAGATTTCTCTTAAACATCTTTGCTCTGTTCAAGAGTACTATTTTTTGTGTGCTTACCTTTTAATAAAGCTGGTAAAAAATAAAACAAAAAAATGATTGGCAGACACAGGACTGACTTAGACTTTTCACTAATTAATGAGTAGGAAACTGGTGATTGGCTTTTCTTCAAGAAGAATGCTGGCTCTTGTTCTGTTCTTTGCAAGCAGATCTAGGCTTGGAATATCACACTTGACTGGGTAGTGCACAATAGGCTTTCATTTGGCCATCACATTCCTCTTGTTAGTCTGTATCTGTTTCACTTCGAGCCCCTTAACTCCCTCTTCCTCACCTCAGCAATGCTGGCTCTTTGTTCATTCTAAAATCTCTTGTCAGATCCAGTTTTCTCTGTCCCATCCAGTTTTTAGTTGCTGGATTTTGGGGGTGCTTTATCAGTATGCGCCGCATCATATGGCACATACTCCTGCCAACAAGAAGCTTTGGATTAACTTATTAAAAGGTTACATTGCCACAGGGCAGGTTACCTGTCCTTACAGTAGAGACTTTCTTTGCCTTTGAGGCTTGCACATCCCAGGAACAGTGAAGCCACAGCCACAGCTGTGTTACAGCTGGATGTGCCTCTGTGTCTGGCCTGCAAGCGAAAGCTTAGCCACACCTTTCGGTGCCATAGAACTGCTAATCTACATATATGGCAATAGGCTTTTTGTTTTAGTAAATATTATGTGGAATTAAATGGATTATAATATACCTATTGTACAAAAAAGTGCATGTTAAGATAATAAAAACAGATGTGTTTAAATGTGTATACAGTATGTGGTTATCCCCAATGCCTGAATATGTGTCAGGAAAAAAGAATTCTTGTAACCCTTAGGATTAGCCTAGCACACACCTTCATAGGAACAGCTGGATTCCATGAGGCCATTATTTGTGTGGGGCTCTCCTTAAGGCTGGTAGAATGTTGTGGCTAAGGTTTCTGGGTAATGTAATGTTCCTGTAGCACAGAAGATCTCTACTAAAGGGCTTGCTCGTGCTACATGTTTTTTCTTCCAATTTAAATGTAAAGTTTTGTTGTTGGTATATAAAGCCTTAAACAACGTGGGATTCAGATAACTGGTAGACTACCTTCTCCATTATAGACCCATTCTATCTTTGTGGTCATTTGGAAAGGTTCCCCACCCCATCCTGAGTGGTATTACCCTTTCCTGAGGTCTGCTCTGCAGTCATTTCATTCACACTTAGAAATCCAGCATGCTCCCACTCCTTGGGCAAAATCTTTTTTGGCACAGTTCCACCAATGTAAACTGGATTGGGGTGCTGGAAATAATTACCATATTTTTCCATTTATAAAACCCCCTCCCCTTTTCTAACCCAAAATTAAGAAATCTTAACTTAGCTTTGAGTATTCAGCCTCTGGGCTCAGAATGCTCAGACATTATGAGTCCCTGTTGTATCTGTGCTTACAGGCTCCACCTCCAACAAGGTGTGTTCCAATTGGTTTGTTCAGCATCAGCTGACATTAGTTCCATAAGGCTCATGATTGGAGGAAGCCTGTTTACAGAGGCAAGGTAATGGGCAGTTCTTTAACGTGGTTCTCTATGAATCCACACTGATGGGTTAAACAGCGCCTGCGCTGGTTCCTCTCGGAATTTTCCAGAGCTATGAGGGAAAAGATACAATGTTTGAGTTGCCCTGCACTGCGCAAGTGCAGCCCGCCAAAAATCCCCAGTTCCATGTGCCCGCACATAGAGAGAGTTGGAACTCAGTCAACAGTGACGGACACGTGGGGAGGTTGGGCGGGTCGTGTGTATTCATAGAGAATCCACTTAAAGAACCATGTTTACAGGTAAGTAACCTGTTCTTTTTTTCTTGCCTCAGCTTACTTCTGTTTATAAGACGCCTCTCAATTCTTAGTGTAATATTTTAGGGGGAAAATGGTATCTTATACATGGAAAAATATGGTAATTTAAATTTATTTAAAGCTTCCCGTCTCTTCATTTTTGTTTCTGAGGCTTCTTAAGGCTCCTCCTTTCCCTGGGAAACCCTTTGGGAGCCTTGGGAGGAATTTTTAATCATCACTGGATTGCTCGTGTTTTCTGTTACAGCACCATCCTATAGATCTTAATGGATATGTAGTTGATTCTTGGGCCCTTTCTTGTAGTGTGCCATACAGTATTTGACTAACTCTTAATATGTTTTAAATATTTTGACCTATGGTTTATATTTCTTTTAGTTTTTATGCAGATTTTGGACCTTTAAATTTGGCTCAGTTGTATCGATTTTGCTGCAAACTAAACAAGAAATTAAAGGTAAGGACTTTACATTCTGTCATAGATGCAGGCTTTAAAAATTTGATTGCAGTTCTACTCTAGGAAATTACTTGATATTTACCCAAACTCTTGAATATAGAATTTAACATTCTGGTCTTTCTGTCTGAATGTGAGAATTTAAAATTGATCATGTCAGTTGTTAAGACTAAAGATGACATGTTTGTCTGAAATAGGGCCTAACTATGAATTGTAAGACATGTAAGCCAATAGGTGAAGACAGAGACAGAAATGAGAGTGATCTTGAACACAGTAATTGTCTTGCTTTGAGTTACCATTAGGCGAATCTTTGCTTTGAAGCTGTAGTTACTATCCCCATGTTGTGAGGAAACTTAGCGAGTGTTGCAGAAATAGTAATGCTTTGTTCTGTGCTGAGAAACCGATAAACATTGGTGACTTTGTGGCTACTGTGCCTGATAACCATAATATTAGACCAATTCTCTTCTAAATCTGTCTAATTGCATCATCTTGCAGTTTTAAAGTTCAGTAGACTCATTGGCTGTTTTTGAAAGGTATTCTTATAACCAGGAATGGAAAGCATGTCACCTCGCACGAAGAAAAAAACTTCCTTTAAAAGAACTGATAAAACCCCAGCTGCTATAGTCCCCTTACTCTCTCCCAAGCTATTCTTGATTTGAGGGCACTCCCAACACAGTAACATATATGTTTTGAGGAGTCTGTGATGAGATGGGGTGATTGGCAATCCTTGTGTGAGTAGAAGTCAACTCTTTGAATACAACCCATTATGTGAAAAGGTACACCTGCCTTTATCTCAACTTGTACATACAACTATTTCTTGCTCAAAATCCCTGCCTGTTATAAACTGTTCTATATGACTTGTTGTGTATATGTTAGCATTCCCTTTTTAAAAACAATTTATAAAATTGTACAAGGAGAAGTATCATACAGTGATGCACCGCTTAATTATTACCCTGCTTCACGACGAATCCGCTTCATGACGATGTTTTTGCAATCGCAATTGCGATCGCAAAATGTTTTGATGGGCTTTTTTTGCTTCCCGACGATCGGTTCCCTGCTTCGGGAACTGATTCTTCACATTATGACGATCAAAACAGCTGATCGTCAGGTTTTCAAAATGGCCACCGGGTGCTCAAAATGGCTCCCCGCTGTTTTCAGGAATTGCAATCCTTGTGTGAGTAGAAGTCAACTCTTTAAATAAAACCCATTATGTGAAAAGGTACATTAAACACTCACCCACACCTGCCTTTATCTCACCTTGTACATACAACTATTTCCTGCTCAAAATCCCTGCCTGTTGCAAACTGTTTTATATGACTTGTGGCATATATGTTAGCATTCCCTTTTTAAAAACAATTTATAAAATTGTACAAGGAGAAGTATCATACAGTGATGCACCGCTTAATTATTACCCTGCTTTTTAAAAACAATTTATAAAATTGTACAAGAAGTATCGTACAGTATATGGATAACAGCTATTTCTTTATCTGCTGGAAAATAAAATAGTATTTTTTTCCATAGTTAAGTTGGATCATTGCTAAGATATCAAAACACATTATTGCCAGGAACAAAGTAGTTATTGTTAAATCAGCTTTATTAGAGGAGAGTCGAAGGCTGCCTAGGATCATATTAAAATTCTAGTCTTTAAACCAACAGCTTAACTGGTTAGTGCTAGTGAAATGATAGGGAAGGAATGGAGTCACCCACCCAGCCATGCTGAACATGCCACAAAATGACTAGTTCTTGTGGATGAGAAAAATATATATATATTCCATGTAATTTTTACATCTTTGGAAGAAATACCAGAGCCTGTGACAGCTCTGTGGAGCATTCCTTCCAGCAGAGGTATTTGCATTCTAGACTGCTCATACCAAGCACCAGAATGGAGGCACTTTTCTCCAGGACTTGTGGGTGGATGTGTGGAATCTTGAGAGCTCCATGGGAAGGAGAATACTAGCAGCAGTAAAAAGAGAGTGAGTAGGCTTGGTCTCCGCTGAGATGATTGATTGATATACCACCCATCTAGCAAATTCATAGCTCCGGATGGTGAGATGATGCCTCTAACCCTGTAGTTGTTGCTCCAGGATCTCAGTCCCTTACAAAGCCAGCAGGGTGGGTTTGCTGAATGAACTGGAGGAAGTTTTGTTGCTGCTATTGCTCTTCCCATGTGTTGAAAAGCCTTAGGTCTCCAGATAAGTGAAGACAAAGGAGGAAGTATCAGTGGTGGGACAAGGCATGCAGGTCATCTCTGGGGTGCAGATGGGCTCCAGCACTATGCTGCCTGTGAAACCCAGGGGCTCTTGGTTTGCGCTGTACGAAGAGGAGGAGCCAGACAAATCCATGTTGGGCATGAAGCATGGCATCTCTCACAAGTGGAGCAGGCCAAGAAATCATCAAAAGGCTCAGCCTTCAGCTCTGTTCCAAAGTTCTTGTTTTCTATATCCAGAGCCTGTGTGAAGAGCCTTGCTTGGTCTCCAGTCAGTTGTGTCTAGTTGAAATTGCTAGGGCTTCTCTAACACCAAAGTTTTTCAACATAAATGGCAAGGGGTAAGGGAGCATGTTTTTTACTTCTGCCATCTCTAGCAGTTTAAGGAAAGGAGAAGATATCTGTTAGAAATAAATACAGTGGTTCCTCGCATAGTGAGGTTAATCCGTTCCGGATTAACCTTCGCTATAGCGAAACATCGCTGAATGGGACAGGGAAAGCCATTGGAACGCATTAAACATCGTTTAATGTGTTCCAAAAAGCTCCCTTTCTCACCGTTCAGCGATGCTTCCTATGGCCGGCAGCCATTTTCGTGCCCTCGTTAAGCGAGGGGAGGGTGCGAAAATGCTGTGCGCGGCCATTTTGGGGCTTCCGGCGGCCATTTTGTCCGCCGAACAGCTGATCGTCGGGGCTTCGTTTTGCGAAGATCGGTAAGCGAAACGCTTACCGATCTTCACAAAGCGAGTTTCGCCCTATCTAAAAGTCGTTAAGCAGTCGCATTAGCGATCCCAAAAAAGGGATCGCTATGCAATTTCGTCGTTGTACGGTGTGCTCGTTAAGCAAGGCACCACTGTAGATGGTGCTGGGTTCTGTTTAAGGCTTGCCTGTTTGAGGAAGCTGCTCTGCACTCTAGGCTAGCTGCAGTTGTATAGAATGGACAGCAGCTATGGAACTGCCTAGCTTGTGTAAAGAAAAAGATGATTCCTGGATAGTTGTTCAGGAAATGCTAATGTTGTCTGTTTTGAATATGTGTCACTTTTCTAGTCCTTTAAATAATACCAAAACAGTGATTCAAATATCACTAAGGAATATCATTAGCAACAGTAAAAGCAATATTTGCAGTCATACGTACATTAAATCAGAATCAAACTTTGGTTCGAAAATAATCACATCGACATGATATGTTACTGAGATATTGTAGAATATGTTATTTTTGGCTTGCGTGTCTAATCTTTCTGATTATAGTAGTGAAACTTTGGGTTACAGAACTGAAGAAATAGCTTGTAGACTTCCATTCAGTACATACAGTGTAGACAATGTTCTGCAGAGATTATTTTGTTTTGTCTTTGGCTGCAGTCATATGCAAATTGTTTGGAAGTGAGCTCTAGTGAATTGGAAGGAATCTCCATCTGAGTAAAAAATACCTGGAATTGGCTTACATGTATTTTAAACTCCCGCTTCCATTGCTTATTGAAGTTAATTCATATTGATGGTTTCTTTGTTTTTTTGGCCAGCACTGTCTCATGCAAGACGACGGGTCTTGCAAGATACATTATCTGTACTCCTATAAATTTAGTGTGGGTGAACCATTTATGTTGCCGTTTAATCATATGTAATACTGAGGTTTCCGGGGTCAGGAAATTATACAAAACAGTATCTATTTCACCTTTTGCATTACCAAGCAGATAGAGACAAAGTGGTGTAAAAAGTGGTGTAACACTTCTTTGCTGTTGCTTTGGCTGTTTTAAGAAACCTTGTTTACTGAGCATGTAAATGAGATTCCAAAACTTTAAACTTTTCCATTGTACAATTATTTAAAGAAAGATTGTGCTGGATGCCTGAACACCTTGAAATCCACTCCCCCCCCCCCAAATCCATGTGAACCTCCCAAGACACTGATTGGCCTCCAAGGCCCTGCTTACAGGCCTGCCAGTAAGAACTATCAGTGTGGGAAATGTATCACGTTGAACATTCATGATTGTGGTACCATCACTATGGAACTCAGCCACACTGTTGAGCTCCCTTTTTGTGTGCTCCTAGTTGAAGAAATCTTCCATTTTTTCCTTTGTGTTTTTTAAAGTTTTTTCTTCATTCTCTGAGAAGAGATAATTCAAATATGGCTTCAAAATTCTTAGATTATTCTGAAGTTGTCTCAGAGTTTTAAGTGGTTGTTTCTAATGACTGCATATGTCATATTATAATGTGTTGTTGCTGATTCCAGATTCATTTATTGATAGATCTCTAGTTTTACTTGTTCGTTTGTTTTACGTATTTTACTGTGTACCCTGAGAGCATTTCAAAGATAATCCATCAGTACCTTGAATAAATAAAGGAACACATTTTCCTTGGTTTGCAGTTGTCAAGAAAGTGGGAGCCCTGTATGGTAATGTGAAGCGTGGAAGGTGCGATAAAAGGTCACAGCCACCTTTCAGTGCTGGTATCTAGGGCAGGGCTCAGGAACACTTCAAAACACTCTGAGACGCCAACTTCCATTGCTCTTATCTGGCATGGCTAGCGATCAAGAGAGAGAACTGTAGCCCAGTAGCAACTGGAGGGCCACAGATTCCTCAGCCTTGTTCAAGGGACTCCAGTACTGTATTCAGGTTTGGTGTTTCTGTCTTGGTGCAAGTGCAGTGATGGTTACATCAAGCAAGAACTGGACCCCTTCAGAGGACAGGCATATTTGAAGTGGCTGGTTAATCTGTAAAAGAGGACTTAAGAGTGTTAATGACCCTTGCAGGTATTTCAGTTAAGGAAGACCACTGGCCATGTTCCCAAAGAACAGCTGTGCCAAGCAGTCCTTGGCCCCCCTTCTGCCTCATTCCATCCTTTGCTCATTCTCACCTGGAAAAGGTATTAGGGGAGTCCGCTTCCCTATTTAAATGTTTAAATATGTATTTCATAAAAACTGCTGTCTGTTTATTCACTTCCCATGCCAAGCAGAAGAGTAAAAGAGTTCCTTTATTGTCCTACCCTCTGTTCCTGTGAGAGATTCAGCTGTTGATGTTGCTGCTGTTTATGAGAAATGGAGTCAATATGACTGATATAGATGTTCTGGGTATTTAATTCATATGTGTCGTTGTCTTGTAAGTGTTCTGTCTTCCTCTTTTTTTAAAAGCTCTCTTGTGCTTTAAACCCACTCCTAGTCTTAAAAGAGATGACATCATACTCTTGTTGGAAAGGTTGACAATTCCCCAATATATTACGTGCAAGAATCAGGAAAGGTGAGATCACTATATATCAATTTGCTGGATTCAGCTCATTTATTTAATTAGACACATGTACAAGTGATGAAAAATGAGCCTCAGAATGGTGACTCCCTGTGACCGATGCATCTCGCAGCAAAGGTAGAAGTGAAAAGCTTCAGCTCAGAAGCATTCTGGCAACGGAGTTGTTCTGCTCATCAGGAATAAGGGTTAGGATTGAAAGAATTACCAAGACAGACTCAGCTAAACTGGCACAACTCTGTTAACAGCTTCTGATGTAAAGAACATTGCTCTAGGTGATCTTTTTTTAATGCTTTTTCTGCTTTTTTCCCCTCTTTAAACAGTCATTCAGTCTATCAAGAAAGAAAATAATTTATTACACCAGCTTTGACCAGCGGAAACGAGCAAATGCAGCATTTCTAATAGGTGCATATGCTGTAAGTATTGGTTGGTCTCTGTGTCCTTTGCAGGAACTTGCTGACATCTCATTTTCCAGCTGAGTACAGATACTGCAAATGCTGAAATCCTTTTGGTGTACACTTATGCTGTATGAAACAGATGCTAACATCATCCAGTGACGAAAATCTTCAATTAAATCACAATATCCCCCCCCACACACACACACACAAACACCTACATAAGTATCTGGGATTCCTTTTGCTTTTCCGAAGCTATTGGATGCCTGGGATAGGGGTGACTTCAGTATCAGAAAACTCACTGCCGCCAGTCCTGCTGCAGCCTCGGTCACCAGCAGCAATCCACTGGTGACTATGCAATATTCAAGGCTCCTCTCACACACGCACACCCTGCCCCAAGAGGCTTCTTAAGGGCAAAAGCGATCTCTAAGGAGCTTCAGAACCTGAGAAGGGGGGGACAGTTAGGAAAATTTAAATTTATTTAAATTAAAGAAGTCTGTTTCCAAATGATGATGTCATCTGGTTTACATGGCATAAATTTATGCCAGTGGGATTTCTGCCACTATCCTTTTTCCTATTGTTGTTCTACAGGCCAGTCCAATATTGCAATCTCTTTAGAAAGAAATACACCTGTTCCGTCAACTTTGTTGCCATCATGGTCTTCCCATGTTTGGTGTTATGTTAGAAAACATAGAAAAGAGCCAGGAAAAAAAGTTTACTATAGTGCACCAGATATTCTTATGGCTAACTTTCTGCCACTGTCCCTGGCTGACCATCCAAACATAGTATCTGGGTAGGCAGTTGGTCCCTATAGGGAACCCCTTCTGTTGGTTTCATGATATCAACAAGGTAGGTTGTCTTAATACTTTTGTACCAAGCTATGTGTACTGTTTTCCATTCTTTGTTCCCACTAGATACAGGGTTATTAAAAGTCAAAATCATAGGATTATTAAAAGTGATATTCATAGTTATATTCATGTGGAAAATGGGTCTGTACTAGTATATCTATATTACAGCATTAAAGTTCCACAGCTTTGTGAAAATGCTAGTCTTTCTGAATTAGAGAGTCAGTTATTATTTGAAAGATAAATTTACTAATGTTTGTGCACTGTTATTCATCTGTATTGTAACGCAAGGGAAATTTTTGAAGTCTTATTAATATAGGTCTTCAAATAATATTCTGTTGGTTTTGTGATTGCGATAAATTACAGTACATTTAGTATTTCTGCTATACGTTACATTTAGTACCTCTGTATGAAAGCTGAATGGAAATGTCTGTACCAAAAAAGAAATGATTTCACTCTCTACAGAGTGAACTGAGGTGATAATCAACATTACTCTGGGAATATTAGTAAAAGTAGCTCATACATTTTAATCATCCTGTGTATAATAATAGTGGAAACAAATTGTCCCTCTCTGAAGCAAGATATAAACAAATGAAATAGCAGAGCCTTTTCTGTAGGACAGAAGGTGCACTTTCAGTGTGCAGATAAATAATAAAGAGTAGTATCATAGGTAAAGGTTCTCCTTGATGTTTAGTCCAGTCGTGTCCAACTCTAGGGGGCAGTGCTCATCCCTGTCTCCAAGCCGTAGAGCCAGCGTTTGTCTGAAGACACTTTCCATGGTCATGTGGCCAGCGCGACTAGACACGGAACACCATTACCGTTCCACTATGGTGGTACCTATTTATCTACTTGAATTTGCATGCTTTCGAACTGCTAGGTTGGCAGGAGCTGGGATAAGTGATGGGAGAGCACCCAGTCGTGTGGATTTGCTCTTACGACTGCTGGGCTTCTGACCTTGCAGCACAGAGACTTCTGCGGTTTAACCGGCAGAAATGGATCAGTAATGAAAAGGTAGATAAGCTGGTTTAGCAATTCACATTAAGGCAGAATGGTGGTTGGTTGGACTGCCAGTGTAGAATCACCAATTGGTAGCATGTTTGGAACCTAATTCTTTAAGGGCGTTTGGCAAGGATTTGCTCTGCTCTCTTCCTCAAGAATCCATTTTTTTCGGAGGCCCAAGGTGATGCTATTAATCTCAGATATAGTATCTTGCTAGCAGTGACTTCCTGCTATGTCAGTCTAAAATTACAGCAGTACTGTATTAGTATACATGTGTTATACTGGTATTATTGTTTGTCTTGACTCATTCTAAATACTTCTGCAGAGAGTTTTAAGCATTCAGGCTGACTTGGATGTTGACAGCAACATTAATAAGGCAATTTTCTCATTTGTGCTTCAGTAGAATACTAATTACTACCCCCTTTCCCAATTCTTCATTTAATTTTTCTTCACAGCGTGCCCTTCAGTGCGACATTTTTGGGATGGTGTGCAATTTAAAATAATAACAAGTCAAAACAGATTCCCACATAAAGCGTGCAGAGCTCAGGGACAATAATAAAACCAGTAAAATCTAGCATGACGTGATGGATGATTTATGAAAAGTTCCATTGTGATGACTTTTTTTTATACATGCATCTTTGTGTGTGTTGAATCTATGGTTTAGGAACAAGATCATGGGCCATCCTGTCCTGGTGAATTCAAAATTAAGTTGCCAGAGGAATAGCTAAAAAAGCAGTGGGCAAATTTGAGTTTTCCAAATGTTGCTGATCTGTAACTCTCAGCATCCCTAGGCAGCATAGTTGGTAGTGAGGAATTCTGGGAGTTGCCAGCTACCCTGACTTAAAAATCATCTTGAGACCTAGGCTTTTTGTGGACCAAAGCTGCCTTCTTGGAAGTCTACATTGTTTTTTTCTTGTTTGTTGTTATGTGCTGTCAAGTCAGGACTGACTTATAGCCACTCGTAAGAGGACTTTCAAAGTAAATGTGATATTTAAGAAGTGGTTTTACTATTTCCACTCCCCCAGTGAATTTCCATGGCGGATCAGGGATTTGAACGCAGACCTCTTGGTCCGTGACTGTATCCACTACGTCACAGTGGGTATCTTAGATGGGTAAATGTCTATAGCTGGTGTACAGAAAAAAAAAAGAAATATGGGGTCTTTTTGGATTGTTTTAGAAAAGTAAGGCAAACAGCACAAGACTGCTAGATGTGTTACAGAATTTTGAAGAATACCAATAAATACAAGAGTCTCTTAGCTGAATCGGAGATGGGTAGGTATACGTGTAGTCAGTTTGTGACTAGAAACTGCTGGTGATGAATGGGTAAGATAACGGTTGAAATAATAATTTAGTGGGTGACACTTATTTTATGAGCTGACTACTTCCATTATTTGTTGGAACCAATGTGGCCCATGGCCATCTTGGCTGGGCAATCTGGGAATTACAGTCTCCAGACTTCACATTTCCAACCATGGTCAATATTACCAAACATTAAAAAGGCTAAGTAAAGGTAAAGGTTCCCCTTGACATTTAGTCCAGTCGTGTCCGACTCTATGACACGGTGCTCATCCCCGTCTCCAAGCCGTAGAGCGAGCATTTGTCTGTAGACAGTTTCCGTGGTCATGTGGCCAGTACGACTAGACACAGAATGCCAGTACCTTCCCACCATGGTGGTACCTATTTATCTACTTGCATTTACATGCTTTCGAACTGCTAGGTTTGCAGGAGCTGGGACAAGCGACGGGAGCTCACTCTGTCGTGTGGATTCGATCTTATGACTTCTAGTCTTCTGATCTTGCATCACAGAAGCTTCTGTGGTTTAACCCGCAGCGCCACCACGTCCCATATTAAAAAGGCTAACAAAAGCCAATTGAGAGCAGTTTGATTTCCTGCACCATATAGTCTGGCTTGCTGAGGTTGGAGTGTCTTTGAAGCCCATCTTGTGAGGCTCATCTCCCACCTTCTTTCCATTCTCTGACCTGGGCAGGGACTTGAGTTCATCTCTCTTGTATTGAGCTTTGAAAACACATTGCTCTGTTTTTGGGTATCCAAGATTCATCACAAGGCCAAAAGGAGCTTGTCCTTGTCAAGGTTCCAGAGAAGGGTGATGGCTTTCATCATATCTGTGAACCTCTGTCATGTGTATGAGGAGAAGGAAACCTTGGGCTCTCCAGATATTTTGAACTGCTACAGCTGGGATTCTTTACAGTTGGTCACATTGGGTGGAACTGATGGAAGTTGTAGGGCAAAACAGTTAGTGAGCCAAACACTTCCTGCCTCTGGTATCATAATAATATATCAGTGATTCTTGATTTTGGGTCCCATCTAGCATCTCTTGCTTTATGGCCAAAACTCTGCACTGTTGGGCAGTGGTCCCCAACCTTGGGCCTCCTGATGTTCTTGGACTTCAACTCCCAGAAATCCTGGCCAGCAGAGGTGGTGGTAAAGGCTTCTGGGAGTTGTAGTCCAAGAACATCTGGATGCCCAAGGTTGGGGACCACCAGGGTAGAGAACCGACAGATGTGCTGAAGGGGTTAAAAGCCCTCGTTGGTTGCCCTGCCCTGCCCCCCACAACGGCCAGAGAGCGAGCAGTGTTGACCCCATCCATGTGGAGAGAAGGATGCTGGGGGGCAGGAGAAAAGTTGGTGTCCTGAGAAAGTGAGCCGGTCATCGAGGAGGTTCTCCAGGAGTCTGGAGCGGGACATTTTCTAGAGAAGTCTTCCCAAGAGGCAGTCGCCTCTAGACGTCTGCTGCAATTTTGCCTTATCCATTGGGTAGCTCTCTACTTGGTTGGGCACGCCTTTCCCAATGTGATGCCCCCCCACCCGCCGCTAGGCGTTGGCCACGCTGGGTGGGAATGATGGGAGTTGTAGTCCACCCCTTTGGGAAGACATTGAGTTTGCAGAAGTTCTAATAAGGCCTGCAGGGAATCGTCACAACCGTATTTTCTCCTGCCCCAGCTTGAACCTGCTTTGATCCCTCTCTTTAATCCCTGCAAGCCTGGATGGGTTCAAAAGAGCATTGAAGACCTGGCTGTTCCGCCAGGCTTTCTCAGAGCATTAAGATCTCGGCCTCCCTTTTACCAGCCTTTTTGCCATCCTGTCCACCACCTCTCTTTAGCACCTTCTTTATCATCTGTTTTAATTTACCCTATTTGGTTATGTATTAAGATATATAATGCTATTGTGTTTTAGTATTGTTGCTGATATTGTTGTTAACCACCCAGAGTGGCTGGTTGCCACATGGTGCGGGATATAAATTCATTAAATAGATACATCCAGTTGCTGGGAAGTTCATGTACAGTCTTTCAATGCTGAGAGGGTACAGTACTGCAGTTAAAACCACAGCTGTGTCTGATTGATATGGTAGAAATATTACGAAATATTAAGAAATGATATTTCTGATAACATCAGCATGTAAAATTTGCTAAGCACTGTGCACATACGAGGGTCCATCCCTGTGATCACATGGTCCAAGGAACCTTTGTTGTGGCCACTTTTGGCATGTAGAGATTTTGTTTGCTTGGTATCCTTTTTTTTGGGGGGGGGGTAAAGTAGTTAGGTGCCTGTTCTTGTCTTGATGGCATCTAAATGGGGCTTAGAAATGATGGGCCCAGTCTTTCCTGGTTTTTACCTCCAGATTAGACTCTCAGTATATACAAGTGTTGTATTTTATGTATGCGTACAAGGCAGACTCTGAGTTCGGGTATGTTATGGCAGCAAACACACAGCCCTTCTTCCCATAATATGTGTGGACTGTACATTTTCACAGTAGGTTTTTTTCAGGCTTATATAAGTGATTACAATATTCTGAGCTTTTCATATTGTCCAAGTACAGCAGTCACTTGGTTGACAACAAGCTTCATTTGGATTAGCTGAGTCCAGAATGCTTGTGTACAGGTTAAGGAGAGCCAATGTTTCTCTTTCACTTATATTTTCTTTTCTTGCTAGGTTTGCAGTTGTATTGTTTGAGGAATAGTTTGTTTCCCTGACGTTAGGATAGCACAAGACGTAATTCTGAACATTGTTAATTCAGAGGGTTGTTCTTGTCCCAGTGCTGAAATATTAATGTGTAAAATGAGACTAAGCAAACACAAGATTGAATTCTACAAATAGAACTTCCACTGGTATCTTGTACCCTGAATGGGCAAAAAAGGTGACTTGATTTCCATTTTTTGGTTTTGAACCTGTATTTCCCTCCTCTCTTAACAATTTTTCAAGAAGATGAGAGAATAAAGAGAGAAAATATTTCTAAAAAAGTCTGCAGAAACCGTGCAATATTATCTCACTGTGGTACAACATTTCATAGTGACAAAGCACACTGCCCTGTATCTGTTAGTAATACATCTTATTTATCCCTGTATAAAGTTAACATTTTATTCCAAAGTTCTTTGGTGTTTGGTTCGTGGCACCACATACGGCTGTAAACATGTCATGCTCCCTGGCCACAAAAAGAGAACAAAAGATGAGGAAGTAATTTGATTTCAAGAAAGCCAGCTTTTAATAGGAAAAATAAGTGTATATATTATAAGAGAGACAAGGGAATACTGACTGCAGTCTGCAAACTGATGGTCACTATTATAAAAGCACTTGTAGGACTGAGCTCAGGATATTGCTGAGATTAGTGTAATTAGTGTAATTAGCCTGAATAGTACAGTGGGGTCTTGACTTGAGAACTTAATCCGTATTGGAAGGCGGTTCTCAAGTCAAAAAGTTCTCAGGTCAAATCTGCATTTCCCATAGGAATGCAATGAAAACCATTTGATCCGTATCTGCTCTTTTCCGTCCATAGAAACTAATGGGAAGCTGCTATTCCGCCTTCGACCACTAGAGGGGGATATTTTGTTTCTTTTTTTTCCCTTAGGTCAAGAAAGGTTCAGGGAAGGCAGGGAAAAGACAGTCCAGGCAGTACAGTACCAGGCAGTCCGAAGACTGTCTCCCAATCCACTCTCTAAACGCTGGGAGGAGTGAGGAAGCAGACAGGCACCCTTTTCACTGGCCAACAGTTAACTGAAAGTTCACATTTTGCACTTTCCCTGCCTCCCACGTTGGTTTTTTTCAGTTTGTAACTCAAATCTAAGTACTTAAGTCAAGTCAATATTTTCCTATGAGAGTGGTTCTTAAGTCAAAATGTTCTTAACTCGGGCCGTTCTTAAGTCAAGACCCCACTGTATTCTTCAAGAAATCCCATTTTGTCACATATCAGTTCAGCATTCTACGTAATTCATAGTTTCCTTGAGAAAACTCTGTATCCTCTGGCAGTTACACATTGACTGAGTTAAACATACAATATGATCACTGTTACAGACATTGCCTATTAATTATTTTTTAAACTTCTAAACTGCATTGGGTATTTGCTTGTTAGTGTTTTCAAGTCTTCTCAGACCAAGCACTTCGGTTCTTCCCTGTGAGAAGGGCATGTGTCTCCATGCATCAAGTTGCCTTTCCCATGCATCAGAAATGGCCATGTGGATGCTCTGGATCAAGCTTTTTGTTGATCTAGACATTTTGGGAAGAGGATAGAACTGAGTTTACCAGTAACTGTAAAGAGGCAATATGTGGCTTGGTGAGGGAGTGAGCTTAGATTTCTCTGTGACAGCTGCAGGTGTTTCAGTGAAATACTGCAGGTTTTTAAAGATTTGGAGTCAGCGCCAGTTCAGATGAAGACATTGACCAAAAATCTGGTTGTTTAGCATAAGCCAGGACATAATGTTTGGTCCGTCCCTCCCTGGTAAACAAAGCTCATAAATTATTGCTTTCATTCAGGAGAGTAGACTTAGAGGGGTGGAGGAGGGGCTTAATGGATGTTTACAACATGCATTGAGTCATGTACAGTATTTGCTAGGAAGCAGTTCAATTGCTGAGGTTCTTCTGTCAAACATAATATGGGCATCAGTATGTTCAGGACAATGAGATTTGTCTGACCTACTAGAGCATCAAAATACTGTATAACAAAGGCTAAAGAACAGATTTTCCACAAATACAGGCCACATCTAATTCACATCAAAGCATTATATTCTGAGACAAATACGTTGTTTAACAATATATTTTTGCTTTTTAAGATGAAATGTTGCTTCATGTTGGTTTTCTTTGCAGGTAATGTATTTGAAGAAAACACCAGAAGAAGCTTATCGGATACTTCTGTCTGGATCTAATCCACCCTATCTTCCTTTTAGGTATGTCTACCAATGATAACTGGAATTACATTTCGATATAGTATTTTTCGTTGTTTAAACTGCTACATGTATCCCATCTACTTTTTATTCCCCAGCAACCCTGCCATTTAATCTATAACCTGGGTAAATCTGAAAATTAAAGGGGTTGCACTTTTTTTTTTAGGCTTCATGTTCGGGTTGTTGGAAGGGGCAAAGAGTTTTCAGGGTACTTGAGTCTTGTGCCAATTGCTAGGAAAAAAATGTTTTAACTCCTACCTATTATGACTTCACAGAGCATTACTGTCACATTTTAATATCTATTTTACTGTCATAAGGGTTGTAAATCTGTTTTAAATTATAACTGATGCTCCCAAGGCAATCAACACTGTGCCCAAGATCAAAGGTTGCACTTCTGTGGAATCACAAGGATGTGCCAGTTCAGTCTGTAAATTACATATTATTGAAGGATCTCCTAAAATGTGACTGATCTGTGCTTCATGGACTAAGACAATTAAGGTATTAAACAAATGTCCACCGTTAAGCAGTTCATCCACTGTGAGACAAGACATTTCTATAACTGTCTGCTACAGTTGTATAATGCTTTCATTCATTGCCATGCGATGTACAGTATTTGGACCAACAAAGTCTTGACAGTTTCAGTGTTTGGAAGATTTATTTGTAGAGAAGTGGTTCTGTGTTGATTCTAGGGTATATGAATGCTGCATTAGCCATGGCTTATTAACACTGCAGGAATAGATATGAGTCACAGATACCCAAGAATCAGGTTTTAAGGTCAAAGCAGATGGTTTGTCATTATCGCTGTCGCAGTGGCTTTGCCTCTAGTTCCTGGTTTTTCAGTAAAAAGTGCCAAGAGAGCTGCATGCTGTTGGCATTTCCTGATAATCCTTCTGATTAGTGAACAATTGCCACTGATGCTGCTGCTTAAAGAGTTTGGCAAAGCGCTAGGGATCAAAGCTTTGTCATTTCAGAGCTGTTTGCAATCACCTGGCGTTTAGATGATTGGCAGAAGTGTATCCTGAGCAGGAGGCACCCAGCCTTTAAAACCAGCAACAAGGATGTTGATTTGAAGCCTACATAATGCTGACTTGGTGGGACCAGGACTTAAAACAGAGGATTCTACCATCAGGAGTCTTTCAATTACTGCCTCTCATGTTTGAGTGGAAAATTAGCCTTTTGACTTCTGTGAATTAATACCTGGATTATGAAGTCTAATCATCCAGAATGTGCTTCTCAAGACCAAATTTAATACATTTGTCACCAGCTGAAAAAAGGTAGTAGCAATGCCCCGAGTTTAGGTAGTAGTCTTTGCATACCTTTGCAGGGCATGTTTAGGAAAAATAGTGTACACAGTGGTTACAAAAATAAGTCTGTCATTTATTTATTGGACAACTTATACCATGTTTCTGTCACCTTGAAAGGCCACTTGGAGCGCCTTCATTAATTAAGAGCAGAAGCAATATTAAAATAATCAACCGACTCAAAAAATCATCGGAATTAAAGCAAAAACACTAAATGCCATGCAAAATTTCTCCCCTTGTCCTTCAAGGGCAAACGTTAAAACCTACAACTATCTCTAGCAAAGCATTTTCAAATGTGTTTCAGCCAGAATGTTGCAGTGGTTAGAGTGTTGAACTAAGATTCAGGAGACCTAGGTTGAAATCCCTGACTATGTTGCTTACTGGGTGACTTTGAGCCAGTTACAGTCTCTCAGCTTATCTTGCTCCAGGAAGTTGTTAAAAGGATGAAATGGAGAACAGGAAAGTCTCACGCACGCTGTCATGAGCCCATTGAATGAAAGGCAGGATATACTGTAAATGTAATAAATAAAGAACAAAATCCTATTGTGTAACTTTGTGCCAGCATAAACTGGAGCACCGGAAATCATAGATTTAAATTAATTTAAATCCCCCCCATCCTCCTGTTTCAGCTTCTGAGTCTTCTAGACCTCCTTTTTTGCATTGAGGAAGCCTTTGGGAACTTTGGAATGGGAAGGGAGACTTTGAAAGTCAAAAAACCCCACTGGATCACAGCCAGTGCTGATCCAGCAAGGATTTTTGAGTATCAAAAGGTCCTGCCCCCTTTCTGAACTTCTCAAAGGCTTCCTCAGGGCAAAAAGCCCTAGTGAGCCTCAGAAGCTGAAAAGAAGAGGGGGGGTTGGGAAGCTTTGTGTTTATTTAAATTAATATTTCCTAGTGCCGTGGTCCAGTTTAGGCCAGCGGAACTATTCCAGCAGGATTTTGCCCCAAAATAATCATGGCCACCTAAACCTGTTGAGTGAATGTCTAAAGTGAAGCGTGAGTCTCTCTTGGTAACAAATGCCACAACCTTGGTGCTGTTGTGGAAAAGATCCTGCTCTTGAGTCTCTTACATCTTCTGGGTTTGTAGGACAGATTCACTGTGTGAATAGCAGTCCTTTAGTGCATGTATGTACATTTGTGTTTGTTCAAATGAGTCTGATTTGATTTAGCTCAATAACCTGGGAAATAGTATTAATCTGCTTAGAAGTTCAGCCATTGTTTCATTTAAGGGCTACAGAAGCACATTACTACTGAAATGCAAGTATGCAGCTTGGTCAGATATATTGTGTAGTTCCATGGTGGAAGGGGGTGGGGGAACAAGTTAATGCTGGCTGAAGAGATTAATACTGCAGTGAGGGCACTTACATTAAGTTCCTAATACCATTTTCTCTCAGCCAGACATTCTGGCTTCCAGAAGGATCTGTTGTAGTGGAATTTGACAACGTTTGTTTCACAGCTAATAGCAATACCCATTTATATTGTTCAGAACCTTCTTTCATAGGCCTTTATTGCCTAACTCTTGTTCTTCTCCCATCCTTAATGTGTTGCCTATACTTTAGAGCAGTGGTTCTCCAACTGGGGTCTCCAGATGTTCTTGAACTGCAATTCCCAGAAGCCTTCACCATCTGCTGTGTGCTGGCCAGGATTTGTGGTAGTTGCAGTCCAAGAACATCTAGGGATCAAAGTTTGAGAACCACTGCTTTAGAGAATGCACTCTCCTGATACAGACAACCAAAAATGACCTGGTTACCATGCAAATGACTAGAGAAGGTGCTGTTGGACTGCCACAGCTGGTGTTCAGCAAAAGCTGTTTGCAATGCTCCCTTTTGCCTTGCCTGTTGTTGTCTTCAGGCAGTGCCGGTCTCATATGGCTGGCCAGACCACAGCAAGAAACCGAATAAACTTTGGCAGGCAGGAAGGCTCTTGTGCCTACAGGGAGAGAGTGTTGTATAGGCGCCTCTCCCAGGTGGAGATACAGGAGCCGTATAAAAGTTGTCTCCTCCACACAGAAAAGAATGCTATTATTTCAAAGACTCTTAAGCCAGAACCCTGTTGAGGAAACAGTGTATGCGGCGGTCATTGTGGAAGCGGTTTCCACCCTTTGGCAAGATATTCATCACATAACTGATTTTGCAGCCAGTGTGAAACCAGTCATGTATCACCCCTGCCCCAGAGGGTGCAAACCACTCACTCAATTAGCATTCCAACCCAAGGTTGGGGACCACTGATGTAACAGACACCCCTGCCCCAGAGGGCGCAAACCACTTACTCAATTAGCATTCCAGAGTTGTAAGTTTGAACATGATTCTGGCATTTGAGCGAAAACTCTCACAAAGTGATATATATTTAAAATGTGAAAAGCAGTACAACAGTGGGGTGGCAAAACGGCACAAGATGAAATTCAATATAAAATTCATAAGAACACAAAAGTCTTGTATTCAAAGGCTGCAAGGGAGGAGGCCATGCACAGTTATCAGGGAGGGAATTCCACCAGTTAGGGGATGCCACTGAAAATATTTAATTAAAGAGGTAAACAAATCAACATAATAAAGAGACATACTGAAAGCACCTAAGTATCTGAACCATATACCTTGGAAGAGTTCCTCAAGTACATAGTTGCTAGGTTCTTTCCATCTAAAAAAGGTTTGCTGCAGTCATTGCTGCCTTCATTCTTTACAGAGGTTGCAGAAATGAAGGAAAGGACCATGACATCATTTCCCTTCCCAGCATGAATTCCTACTGGATCTGTCTGTGATTAATTACCACATTTGCGACATTTATTAAGGCTAACCTGAGTCCCACTTAACTCAGAGCCATTGGGGAAACAAGATAATTCTAGAAAGTCTGAGATTGAGGAAGTCTTAGCCTATTCCCCATTATTGCACTGCAGTTAAGCAAATCTGAGGTAATACATCCTTCTGTACACCAGCTGAAAAGTTGTCATGCATACACAGATGAGGAGGCTGACTTTTCCATGTGCTTTCTTGAAGTAATGTAGCTTAATGGTTTAGGTCTCTGGCTACGGAGGTAGAGGTTGGGAGAGTAATTTCCCACTGGGCCTCTTTGCCAGGGTAGAGTTCCTTCTAGTTCTGTAGGTCTAAGATACTATTATTAGTAGCATATTATTTAAAATTGGAGTGAAATGCTTAAAAATCTTTTTAGTTAAGGTTCAAGCAGGCTTCTTAATTGTGTGTAAAGAAACAAAAGTAGGGTTTGCCAACCCCATTGTTCACAATGTATAACATACTGCATGTGTCCGAAGCTCCCTACATCCATGACCAGATAGTTTTTGAGGGACTGCTTAAAAGAAAAATGCCTTTCTCTGGCCTTCATTACATGTATGGCAGAACTGAAGTGACAACAGAGTGATCAAAAGAGAAGCACCTCACAGAATGTCTTTTAATAAACTTGAAGCCTCATTTCCTTTGACTTGTCAGGCGCATCCCAGGTTTCTGAAAAGAGATGGACTGAAACAAGATGGATTTCAGCTGTAGTTGCAAAACTTCTAACACTTCAAAAGTATCATAGTTTCCTATTTAAGAGTGACATAAGCAATTGTTTCAAAGCAGCCATGGGAAGCATGTTACCTCCCTAGGTATGGTTGAACTACAACTCCCATCCCCTTCTACTTTAGTAGTAGTACCAGTGATCTATGGGAGTTGTAGTTCAGGACCATTTGGACGGCCACAGGTTCTCCACCTC